GGAGGGCTGTTGTGTTACAGACCCGCTTGTTCCTCACCTGCCCTTTTGTTTTTAAGAAAACTCCTCCTGTTTTTAAGACTCCTCACCACAATAGAAACTGCTTATCTGCAGGTGGGCCGCTATTCTGAGAGCTCCCGCTGGGCAGAGGCGAGTGACCTCGGGCCGGAGGCCACTGCTACAGTCCCAGCACCGGCCGCCACAGGCCCTTTCCCCTCCTGTAACCCAGTGGGCCACGCCAAGCAGGCTGCCAGACTCTCGCTTAAGCTTCCAAATGATTTTATAATGAACTGACGCACAGTACCGGAAAGTGCGGAAAACGCCTCCGCCAGTGCACAGATGGTTGTAAAGCAAACAGCTGGTCATCGGGGCAGGAAATGGAACCTCACCAGCACCCCAGAAGCTGGCCGTGTTACTTCCTGGCCGGCAGTCACACCCCGTGCCGGACTCCCCGCTCTCGGAGTCTCTGGGAATCATTTGCACGCACGCTGATGAGAAGTCCAGGGGCCTGGAGCTGATTCCGGGAGACAAGGCTGGGAGGAAGGTGGTCGATGGAACTGCTCAGCATCACCTGATATGTATGGATATATGGATCCAAGTAGGTAGGTACGGAGACAGAGAGTCAGACGGATGGATGGATTGGTCTGCTCCTCACACCTGAATTTAGGCCAGGCAGGCAGGGCCCCACAGTACTCCTGGGCCATTAGAACATGCTTGGACATGTGATGGGAATGAAGGAATGTGCCCTCACCGGAAGACCTCAGCAGAAAGACCTGGTTGAGACTTTATCCAGCCAGAAGTGACAAAAAACTGAAAACCAGTGGCTTAAACAACTAAGGGGTTTGTTTTCCTCATATAACCTGACTCCAAGGTGCTGCGGACAACCCGGTCTGTCTCCAGCTTTCTGCTCTGCCATCTCAAGCGTGTGGTTTTCAGCCTCAGGTTCATTGCCTCACCATTGCAAGGTGAGGCTTCTGCCGTTCCTAGGACTTCATCTGTGCTCAAGGGCAGGAAGGGGAAGGGCAAAGGGCAAAGCCAGCTGAGTCTTTCCCCTTTCAAGGAGCCTCTTCCAGTGACCTTCACTTGCCTCTCATTTGTCAGAATTGCGTCCTTGCCCACCCTTAATTGCAGGGGAGCCTGGGAAACCAACTTTTAAAAAAGAGCTGGTCACACCACTACCCCAAGAATAGGTACTGAGAAGGGAACTTGTAGTGTTTCTTCCTCAAAGAAATATTTTGGAGTCAGGGCAGTGAGAACCGCCCCCCCACCCCGCACCAGCTGCCTCCCGTTTGGTGGGTCCAGTAAGTAGCCACAGGGCTCCTGTTCAGTGGGGCTGTCTGGGCACAGAGCTGGATTATGGAGGACTAAGAAAAGGCTAAGCCGTCTCTCGAGGTCTTCCCCCACACAGCCTGCAGCCTCACTGCAAAATCAAAGTCGAATAAATATTTTAAAGTGTTGTTTCCCCACCAATGATGCACCTGCTTGTAAGTGTGTTAAGATGAGCTAAGTGGTAGGACTTAAGTGAGGGCATCCAAGAAGATCAAGGCACAGATACGCTGAGAACAGCCAGGAGCTGCGTCCTCATGGGCAGAGGCCCCATCCAGATCCAGAGAAGAACAATCAGAGCATTATGTTTATCCACCATCCATAATTACTCTGTAGCTTTTTTCCAAGTACAACAGTATTTTTACTTTTTGATTTCTTTTTTAAATTAATTTATCATTATTATATTATGATGATTTCTAAGAGTTCCTTCTATATAGGGGGTTTCAACCATGTTCAGAGTACCTCAAGGTAAAGGGGCACTGATAGTCCAGAGTCAACAATGCAGGCTGAGGTCTGACTGGAGGGAAGGGCCCCGAATGCTTGGGGGAGAACGGGGGGGGGGTGCGTAGTGGGGTCAGGCCTCCTCCTCACCACTCCCCGTCAGAATTTGGGACACTGAGACATTTAAAAATCGGGATATTTTGCATCAAAATAGGGGTTTCTACCTTTGGAAAAATCAGGAGATCTAGCAAATAAGGAGCCCGCATTGTCTTAGGTCAACCATCTTCTGCAGTGGAGACCTTCACACAGGAAAGCACGTCCAGCTCACCCTACTCCCCCTCACTCCCCAAGATGGTGCTCTTGTACTGTTGTTCCCTTATCCCCACGTATTTCTGCACATTTGTGTTACTAGAGTTTGAGTTTGCAACCCCTAATGGAGACCAGAGCCTCTAATTTCTACACCAGCAGCCTAGGATGTTAGAGTGAGTTGCCCAGGACATAGCCGAGTCTACAGTCAGGGTCTCCTGGGACCCAGTTCTGATTGAAAACATCTCTCATGGACATTTACAAACACTGCTAACCCCATCGCTCCCAGGGCCGTGAGCTCCCAGGGTCACCTGGGAGCATCTGAATGTTGCTGACATCGGGCTGTGTTTGTGGAACTCCTGGACGGGCAGGGAGATGCCCAGTAGGCTGGGTGCAGCGGGAGCCCCTGACCCCGGGCCCTGTTCCCACGGGGAGCGGAAGTCCCAGCGGTTGAGGTGAGAACGTGAGGCTGCCCTGGGTGGGCAGAGGCAGCCACAGGCAGCTGTAGTAGGCTGGTGCCGGGCCCAGATGCACTCTCTTCACCCTTTCTGCAAAAATTGCTGCCGTGTGCAGAAATATAGAAACGTGCAAAATCTGAGAGCCAGCACTCAGGAGTCGGCCCCCACCCTCCCGTGTATGCAGGCGGCCCTCGTGACTCAGCCCCAGCCCAACTATGCACATCTTTCAGGCAACTCGGCGTTAAAGAGAGAGAGAGAGAGAGAGGAGAGAGGTGTTTTTGATCCCCAGACAGCTGTGGTTTGAGCAGGAGAGGAGGGGGAGGGGCCTTGAGGCTCTGGGTCTTGCTCTAGACCTTGGCCAGCAGGTGGGTCTCGCCTCGGGAGGACGGGGGGGGGGGGGGGGGGGGCCGCTGCGGTGCAGGCTGGTGGCCAAGCTGCAAAGAAGCAAAGCTCCCACGGTGGTCTTCCTGGTCTGCCGTCCTCCTCTGTGTCCTCATTCTGCCAGCAACCCCTCTCCTCTTGCCCGGACAGAGCCCCAGCCCCCAGCCCCGGTGGTGTCCTGTCTGCTGTCTTTGTCCTCTGGGGCCTCTCCTGTCCCAGGGATGGCCCAGGAGAGTAGGGAATGCAGCCACTGCATCCCCAATACCTCGGGCAAGTTTCCTCTGCAGCCTTCCTGTGGTTGTTATGCAGCCTAGGGGAGGAGGGAGCGGGGAGACACCTGTGCCCGCAGGGTGCCACCCTGCTCCCATGGCTCCCACTGGCACTCCTTTTCTGACAACAAAGGCACCCACCCCCTCATCAGCATCTGAGAGGCAGGGCTAAGTCATGGCCCTCAGACCAGAGTGAATCACGAGAGACTGAGAGGTTGGCAGGCGGCTCCTTACCTGGGTCCCCCATAAGGGACAGCATAGTGATTCAGGACGTAGCTCTCGCCCCCCCTCCCCCGAGCTCACAGAGATGGTCCTGTTCTCCATCCAGAAGTCCAATTCCAAGGCTAGGCTCCCGATGTTGTCCCTGGGGTGGAGCCAGGCACCGCGGCAGCCCAGGCACGGCCCCTCAGTCCCACCCTGGGAGGTCCCAGGTAGGGCGGCCTGCGGGGCAGCAGGGGGGCCGGGGGGCCCACCGGAGGAAGGCGGTGTCGGTGTGGGTCACGTAGCGGTCCATCGTGAGAGTCAGGAGGGGGGGCTGGCTCGGCTGCAGGTAATACACGCGGGCCCCGTTGGGGACGTGTCCGTAGCTGCCAGGAGGGACGCGGGCTGAGGTGCGTCTGCCCAGCGGCGAAGGCCAAGGCCAATCCGGCGCCAAGCCCTTGGCACCCCCTTCTCCGCCCCAGCCTTGAGGGGCCCGCCCCCCCTTACATCTGCACCAGGTCCAGGAAGTTGTGCAGCATGCCCTTCATCATCCCGGGCATCTCAGAGAGGAGCAGCCCCTCCATCACCCAGTAGGAGTCCCTGGGGAAACGGACAGCTCACGCACCGGTCTGGGCACCCGGGCCAGTCAGGGTGCCCCCCTCTGCCCGGGACAGCCCGCTGGCCCCGGGCTCCCCGACTCCCGCCCTGCAGCCCCGGCCGCTCACCAGCAGAACTCCACCAGGCGCCCGCCAGGCACGCTGAAGGGGTGTGCCGAGTAGATGAGAGAGAACTGCTCCGGCTGGCTGAGGACCTCTGGCCTCACCTGCAGTCGGGACGGAGGGCACAGGGAGCCCACAGGCCCCGCCGTGTGGAGGCCCTGGCGGCCGGTGCAGGAGTTCTGGCTCTGCGGCTGGTCAGCCGTGTGGCTTTGGTCAAGGCCGGAGCTGCCGCAAGCCAGGTCTGCTCGGCCCCACAGGCCGGCCTCTGGAGTCCCTGCTAACTCAGCCTGGCCCTGGCAGGGGCTCACCAAGCGGCGGCCAGTATCAGGACCAGGTAGGGGGACCGTTTCCTCCACTCCCCTTCCCTCATCTCTGCTGCCACCGCCCAGCCAGGCCCAGAGACCCAGGGTACCCATTCTCTGGCCCAGGTGCGGAGTGTGAAAATTAATGAAAGGAAACCTCATTTAGAATGGAGCCGGAGGCCGGCAGGTGAAGCTCTCCGGCCCCACCACTCTTCGTCAATTGCAGACCCAAGCTTGCAGGTGGAGCTATCTTACTAGCCCAGCAAGAGGGGAAGGTTTCTTCCGCCCCAGCAACAGCCCAGCCAATGAGGGGCAGCCACAGCTCAGCCAATGAAAAGCTACTGTACTCAGAACTCCCAGTTCACTCCAATGGACTTTTTGTTTATAACAGCCTTCCCAACATCCCCCTTTCCTCCATAAAAGAGCGCAACTCGCCTGCGTTGTGCAGACTTGCTCATCGTTGTCCTGTAGCTTCTTCGTGCTGGGTTGCAGTTCTCTGCTATTCCTAAATTAACTCGTTTTTGTTGGCGAAATACCTAGCAGTTTTATTTGTAGGATTATTTTTAACCCTAAACCGTTTCCTCAGTGAGGCAGACGGACATGATCGTGGTGTCGGGAGCGCAACTGTAGGACCACAGTGGGACTTGCTGTGCGCCTCTGCCAGGTATTTTCTCCGTTCGTTGTCTCCTGGTTCTGAACCAGTGAGTGTGGTGTCAGAGGGAGAGGGGTCAGCTGTCAGTTATTTTGAGGGGAGTAGTGGAACAGAGATTGGCTTTGTTCCTGTGGGGCTGGCTGGGTGAGGAAGCGGCCCAAGCTAGGAAGGAGCCTGGAGCATCACTCTGTGCCAGCAGGTGCCAGGGCCCTGAGGCCTGGCTGGGAAGACAGATGCTGTGCAGCCTTGGGCAAACCACTGCCCTCTCTGAGCCTCAGACAAAGGGCGGAAGTGTCTAACAGACTGCTGACCACAGGTCACAATCAGCAGGGGCAGTTATTCCCAAGCAGAGGCTTGGCCCCATTAGCTCAGGGAACACAGAGCCCCGCTGGGGAGTGAACAGTTACCACTGGTGTAAGACGCAGGTCTGAGTAGCCTGGTGGTGGCTGGACAGGCTAGGTTTGCCTGGGGAGAGGCTACTGAGGGCTTCAGGGAAGAGGTGAAGAATTAGAAATACATTCCTCTTCTAATCCCCCTGCCCTCACCCACCTGAATTTCTTTCTAGAGAGCTGAAGGATACAGGGTTGGGGCCTTCTGTCTAAACCTAGTTTCACCCCAGAGTATGCCTCCAAAGCCATGAATTACTGAAATTTGCAGAAATAGGGCTGGGCTTTTTTTTTTTTTAAGATTTTTTATTTATTTATTTGAGAGAGAGCACATGAGAGGGGGAAGGGTCAGAGGGAGAAGCAGATTCCCTGCTGAGCAGGGAGCACGATCCAGGACTCGATCCCAGGACTCCAGGATCATGACCTGAGCCGAAGGCAGTCGCTTAACCAACTGAGCCACCCAGGCGCCCCTGTGCTGGGCTGTTTTTGAAGGCTACCTATGAAATGAGGAGAAAGGTGCCTGGTTTGACTATGACCTTGAACATGGAAGGACTTGGGATTTGTACCCATTCAGCCACACCTCTTTTGGGGACAGCTGCTACTCCTGGGTGTCGTGGATAAGGCTCTGGAATATCTGGAGGTGAGGGGGGCAGCAGAGCAGGCTGGTATACTGGGAGCAGGACCACCTGCTCTCTCCCTGAGTCTGAACTAGGGACCTCTGGCAAGTGGCAGCCACCCCCTCCTGTCCCACCCCTGGGTCTGAGCCTGCGGGTCCCGCTGGAGCCACCAGGGGGCAACTGTGAGCCAAGAGGACAAAGGCCAGGAAGGGGGACATCTGGCTTGAGGAGGGCCCAGCCTCTTGGCTCCTCATCCAGCCCCCACCCACAGCCCTAGAAATGTCTGGAACCTTCTAGGACAGCCAGATCTTGACCTACGAGTACGGGATCCCGACCTCTCCCCAGAAAACAGGCCAGCAGTGGGGCTTGCCCAATGCCTGGGCCCCCCTGCAGGACCTGGTCATCAAAGGTAGGGAGTAGGGAGGTGGGGATGGGGCATATCCCAGGGCCTTTCCCCATTGCATCTGGAGGGTCGGCCTCCTGGTGCTGGGGAGGTGTGAACAAAGCACATAGGGTCTTTCTCTGGCTCTTCTGGTCTCTTGGCTTCCCACTCAGCAGACCTTTGATAGAGGGAACCAGCCCTCCTTTCTCCCTCCAAAGCCAGGCCCTGGGGAAGGAGCACATTGGCTTTTCATGTGGCTCACGATGGAGGTCTTAGGGCCCAGGCCTCTTTCCCTCCTTGAGGAGTGTAAGGCTCTGGCCATCCCAGGGGACTCAGGAGATTCAGTGTCCTGCCTGGGGTGGGGTCTAGGTCTGGCCAAGTCTCCTTCACCTCGGGCCCAGGAAGTGGCTTTCCAGCTGGCTCAGAATTGGATCCGAACCAACTTTGAGGTCTCTACTCCCAAAAGTCAGCCATGTTTGAGGTGAGCTGCTCCTGAGCCCAGAGCCTCCTGGGCTCCTCCCCATGGTGAGCTGGGGGGAATGCCAGGCTTTGCCAAGCCCAGGGACAGTGGTGACGCCCGGTGGCCGTTCTTGGGCACTGCAGGGGTCAGAGCTGCCGGCCAGAGCAGCTTCTCCCAAAGGGGCTCCCATCTCTTGCTCCCCCTGGGGGGCTGAGGTGGGGAGCCTGGGGGTGGTGCCCCACCTTAGAGCCTGTCCTTTTGTTCCCAGTAGGACATCAGCAGCGGTGGTCAGCCAGGTGGTGGAGGGGAGTATGAAGTTCAGGTGAGTGGGCCCACATCCTACTGGGAACTCCAGGGCTGGCTGTGTTGTCCCCACAACTGGCCGTGACCTCCCCTGTCTGGGCCTCGGTTTCCTCCCATGTATGTGGGTCCCCAGGGAGGAGGCTGACTGGAGCTCCTTTGCACCCCTGGGGCTGGGCAGTTCTCGAGCCTCTGGGTGGGGATCTCACAGCCCCTAAAAGGATTTGGGGCCTTCCCCAGAGATCTTGCCCCACTGACCCTGTCTCTCTCCAGGAGGGCCTTAGCTGGACCAGTGGAGTGGTCCTGATGCTCCTGGACCGCTATGGTGACCGGCTGAGCTCGGGACCCAGACAGCTTTCCTGGAGCCCCCTGCCTCACGGCTACCCTTCTGCTCAGCCTCCTGCTCAGCCTCCTGCCACAGTATGGGCCTCCCTGCCCCGTCTGCCTCATTAAACTTCTGCGTGAGTCTCTACCTTCGCCTGCGTCTTCATCTTCCATCCCCTACCCCCAGCCAGTCCTTGGAGTGGGGTCAGGGGAGGGACCTAGAAGTCATGGGTTGGGCCCTTGTCCCTCCTGGAACATCAGTAAGGGGGACGTCCTGTTTTGTGGGGACACAGTCCCATACCCCATGCAACCTGGCCTCCCAAACTGTTTATTGTTCTGTTGAGAGGTGTACAAATACTAAAAATCACCCGGACCCGGTGTCCCAGCTACAATGGGCCCCAAGTGCTGGGAAGGAGGGCAGGGAGGTGGGATCAAACACCGCCTCCCAAAAAAGTCCAAATTTGAACATACTAGTCTAGATCATCTTATGCCCCTGGGTACTTTGGAAAACTACAGGAATACTGGCACTTATTTTGTGAGCTTTGTGTGTGCAGAGAGGAAGGGAGCCCTGCCAAGACCACTGTCCTCCCAGGGTGAAAGTGTAACAGTTGACAGAATTGAAGGGATTGGGAGTTCTGTGTTAATAGTTGGAGCCTCCAGTGCCACTTTCATGGATAGAACATCTAGACAGAAGATCATAAAGGAAAGAGAAGACCACCATAAAACAATCAGACCTAATATATATAGAATTCCATACCCAGCAACAGGACATACTGTTTGTACATAAAGAATACATATTCTTTTCAAGTGCACATAGAACATTCTCCAGGATAGATCATATGTTAGGCCATAAAACAAGGCTCAGTAAATTTTAAAAGATTGAAATTACAGAAAGTATCTTCTCCAACCGTAATGGAGTGAAGCTAGTAATAAATAACAGAAGGAAAACTGGAAAATGTGGAAATTGACACACTTTTAAGCAACCAAAGAGTCAAAGAAGAAATCACAAAGAAGGGAAATTAGAAAATACTTACAGATGAATGAAAACAAGGAGACAACATACCAAAATTTATGGGATGCAGCAAAGGCAGTTCTCAGAGGGAAATTTACAGGAGCAAGTGTCTACATTACAAAAGATCTTAAATCAATAACCGTCTTTATACCTTGGGAAATTAGAGGAAAGCAAGCTAAACCCAAAGCTAGCAGAAGAGTAAAGAAAGATTGAGCATAAGGAAATAATATGGAGAATAGAAAAGAGAAAAATCAAATCAAAAGTTGTTTCTTTGGGAAAAAATCAAGAAAATAGATCTTTATTTTTAAATTTCTCTTTTTCGATTTTATTTACTTATTTGACAGAAAGTACAAGCAGAGGGAGCAGCAGAGGGAAAGGGAGAAGCAGACTCTGCACTGAGCAGGGAGCCCAATCCGGGGCTCGATCCCAGGACCCTGAGATCATGACCTGAGTGGAAGGCAGACGCTTAACTGAACCACCCAGGCGCCCCAAGAAAATAGATCTTTAGCTATGGAAAAAAATTGACAAAGGCAAAAGAAGGTACAAATAACTAAAATCAGAAATGAAAATGGTGGGGCGCCTGGGTGGCTCAGTCATTAAGCATCTGCCTTCCGCTCAGGTCACGATCCCGGGGTCCTGGGATCGAGCCCCACATCAGGCTCCCTGCTCAGCGGGAAGCCTGCTTCTCCCTCTCCCACTCCTCCTGCTTGTGTTTCTGCTCTTCCTCTCTCTGTCAGATAAATAAAATCTTTGAAAGAAAGAAAGAGAAAGAAAAAGAAAGGAAGAAAGAAAATGGAGACACTACTACAGACCTTACAAAAATAGAGAAAACTGAGAACATTGGATAACCACTACAAAATGCACAAATTCCTAGGAACGCACAAATTATCCAAACTGATGCAAGAAGAAATAGAAAATCTCAACAGATTTATAACGAGATTATAATCAAAAACCACCCAACAATGAAAACTCCACGTGATGGTTAATTTTATATATCAGCTTGGCTAGGCCAAGGTAACACAATTTTTTTTTTTTTTAAGATTTTATTTATTTATTTGACAGAGGGAGACAGTGAGAGTCAGAGTCAGAGGAGGAGTGTTCTTTTATAGAGGAAAGAAGGAAGTTGAGAGGGGCAGTTTGGAGTGAAACTCCATTCCAAATAGAGCAAGAATTTGTGGTTGTAGTGACTTTTTATTGGCTGAGCTGTGGTGGTTCTCACTGGCTGGGTTGCTGGGTAAAGAGAAAAACCTTTCCTTCTGCTGGGATATGAAAAATTAGCTTTGAAGAGTGGTACCTCTGTGAGCATGCCTCCTTCAGGACTTCCCAACTATATTTTGAAACGAGATTTTCCTTTATTCATTTCATACCCTCCATATTGTGAGTGGACCTCATCCGATCAGTTGAAGTCCTTAACAGAAAAACACTGACCTCCTCAGAAGACGAGGGAATTCTGCCCAACAGACTGCCTTTAGACCTCTCTGGGTCTCCAGCCTGCTGACCTAGTTTGCAGATTTTGGACTTGCGAACCTCCACAATCACATAAGCAAAAATTTAAAGATAACTCTCAGTCTCTGTCTCCACACACACTAATTCTATTGTATCTGTTTCTCTGGAGAATCCTAATACAGTCGAAGACCAACATCTTCATTGGCCAACTCTACCACACGTCTAAAGAAGAGTCAAAGGGGCGCCTGGGTGGCTCAGTTCGTTAAGCATCCTCGGCTCAGGGTCTTGGGATCAAGCCTTCAGTGGGGAGCCTGCTTCTCCCTCTCGCTCTGCCTCTCCCCTCCACTTGTTCTCTTTCTCAAATAAATAAAATAAAAAATGATAAAAATAGAGTTAACACCAATCCTTTTCAAACTCTTCCAAAATAGGATGAAACACTTCCTAACACCTCCTATGAAGCCAACAATACCTGATGCTTATGCTATATAAAGATCTCACAAGAAAATTACAGTCCGTTATCTTCTTTGTATGTGATGCAAAAATCCTCAACAAAATACTAGCAAACCAAATCCAATGGCATAGTAAAAGAGTTACACACCATGCAAGTGAGATTTATCCTAAGAATGCAAGAATGGCTCAACATAAGAAAATCAGTGTAATGCACTGCATTAATAGAACAAAGGAAAAAAATCCTACATGATTATTGATGCAGAAAAGGTATTTGACTAAACCCAGCACTTCCATGACAAAAACATTCTAAAAACTAGCAATAAAAGGGAAGTTCTTCAGAGCAATTTAGGGAATTTATGAAGAACTCACATGTAGTATCACAATGGTGAAAGACTGGAAGCTTTCTCTTTAAAATTAGGAATGAGACAAGGATGTCTACACCGTACCGGAAGTTCTAGCTGAAGCAACAGGACCAAAAAAAACAAAAAAAGAAAAGGTCAAATTGGAAAGGAAGAATTTATCTATTCACAGATGACATGATTCTATATGTAGAAAATCCCAAAAGATCCACAGGAAAGCTGGGTCTGATAAATAGATTCAGCAAAGCTGCAGGCAGAAGATTAATACTCAAAAATCAGTTGCATTTCTATATACCTGCCAAGAACAATCTGAAAAGGAAATTTAAGAAGCCATCACATGTGCAAACATCTAATAAATAAAATACCTAGGAATGAACTTATCCAAGGAGATGAAAGACTTCTACACTGAATACTGCAAAAGTCACAGAAGGACACAAATTGTGTGATTCCACTTACATGAAGTATCAAGACTAGGTAAATTCATAGACATGGAAGGTGGAATAGTGGTTTCCAGGGGCCATGGGGAGAGAGGACTGAGGACTTACTGCTTGATGTTATAGGATGTATCTTTGGGATGGTAAAAGTTTTGATGGGGTGCCTGGGTGCTGCAGTCGGTTAAGCATCCATCTGACTCTTGCTTTCAGCTCAGGTTGTGATCTCAGGGTAGTGAGATTGAGCCCCTCATCAGGCTCCGTTCTCAGTAGAGCCTTCTTAGGATTCTCTCTTCTTCTCCCTCTGCCCCTCCCACTTGTGTACGTGCACTCCCCCCCAAAAAAAATCTTTTTTTTTTTTTTTAAGATTATTTATTTATTGACAGCAAGAGCAGACACACAAGCAGGGGCAGTGGGAGAGGGAGAAGCAGACTTCCCCCTGAGCAGGGAGCCCGATGCGGGGCTCGATCTCAGGACCCTGGGATCATGACCCAAGCGGAAGGCAGACACTTAATGACTGAGCTACACAGGCGCCCCTAAAATAAATCTTTTTTAAAAACATTTTGAAAATAGGGGCGCCTGGGTGGCTCAGTCGGTTGAGCGACTGCCTTCGGCTCAGGTCATGATCCCGGAGTCCCGGGATCGAGTCCCGCATCGGGCTCCCTGCTCGGCGGGGAGTCTGCTTCTCCCTCTGACCCTCCCCCCTCTCATGTGCTCTCTCTCTCTCATTCTCTCTGTCAAATAATAAATAAAATCTTTAAAAAAAAAAAACATTTTGAAAATAAATAGTAGTGATAGTTGGGAAATACTATGAATATAATGTAAATTGAATTCTGTAATTTAAAATGAATGAAATGGCAGATTTTATGTGATATCTATTTAACCACAAGAAACATTTTTAAAAAAAGAAGGAAGGATGCTCATGGATCAAAAGAACAAATATTGTTAAAATGTCTATGTAACCAAGAGCAATCTACACATTCAGTGCAATCCCTATCAAAATACCATCAACAGTTTTCACAGAGCTGGAACAAATAATTCTAAAATTTGTATGGAACCAGAAAAGACCCTGAGTAGCCAGAGGAATGTTGAAAAAGAAAAGCAAAGCTGGTGGCATCACAATTCTGGACTTCCAGCTCTATTACAAAGTTGTAATCATCGAGACAGTATGGTATTGGCATAAAACAAACACATAGATCAATGGAATAGACTAGAAACCCCAGAAATGAACCCTCAACTCTATGGTCAATTAACCTTTGACAAAGCAGGAAAGAAAATGCAATGGAAAAAAAGTCTCTTCAACCAGTGGTATTGGGAGGTTTGGAAAGCCACATGCAGAAGAATGAAACTGGACCATTTCCTTACATCACACACAAAAATAGACTCAAAATGGATGAAAGACCTGAATGTGAGACAGGAATCCATCAGAATCCTAGAGAACACAGGCAGCACCCTCTTTGACCTTGGCCGCAGCAACTTCTTGGTAGACACGTCTCCAAGGCAAGGGAAACAAAAGTAAAAATGAACTAGTGGGACTTCATCAAGACAAAAAGCTTTTACACAGCAAAGGAAACAGTCGACAAAACCAAAGGACAACCGACAGAATGGGAGAAGATATTTGCAAATGTCTTACCAGAAAAAGAGCTAGTATCCAAGATGTATAAAGAGCTTATCAAACTCAACACCCAAAGAACATGAAGAAAGGGGCAGAAGACATGAACAGACATTTCTCCAAAGAATACATCCAAATGGCCAACAGACACATGGAAAAATGCTCAACATCACTCATCATCAAGGAAATACAAATCAAAACCACAATGAGATACCACCTCACACCAGTCAGAATGGCTAAAATTAACTCAGGAAACAACAGATGTTGGCCAGGATGCGGAGAAAGGGGAACCCTCCTACACTGTTGGTGGGAATGCAAGCTGGTGCAGCCATTCTGGAAAACAGTATGGAGGTTCCTTAGAAAGTTAAAAATAGAGCTACCCTATGATCCAGCAATTGCACTACTGGGTATTTACCCAAAGGATACAAACATAGTGACTCAGAGAGGCACCTGCACCCCAGTGTTTAGCAGCAATGTCCACAACAGCTGAATGATGGAAAGAGCCCAGATGTCTATTGACAGATAAATGGATAAAGAAGATACCGTATGCGTGTACACACACACATATATACATACAATGGAATATTAGTCATCAAAAAATGAAATCTTACCATTTGCAATGATGTGGATGGAACTGGAGGGTATTATGCTAAGCAAAATAAGAGAGACAATTACATGATTTCGTTCATATGTGGAATTTAAGAAACAAAACAGGATCATATAAAGATTTTATTTATTTGAGAGAGAGCACACGAGCCCATGGGTTAGGGGGTGCAGAATGAGAGGGAGCTGCAGGCTCCGTGCTGAGCAGGGAGCCCGACTCGGGGCTCAATCCCAGGACCCTGATGTCAGGACTGAGCTGAAGTCACATGCTTAACCAACTGAGCCACCCAGGCACCCCAAGATAGAAGATAAGCTTAAAATCTGAAACACCCATAATATCTTGGGTGATGTTGGAGAAATGATCTAAGAGGGAGGGCAGTGCCCGGAAGAGTTCCATAATGCAGTGGGAATGGTTTATGCAGGAGCAGACTATGGGGGGGAATGTAGAGTTAACGCAGGTAGACTCTGTTCCTTAGAACTGACTTTGGAACCACCTGAGGAGTGCTGGATTCTATTGCCACATGGACGGTGCCCTATAAACAACTCTTGATGGACCAACAAAGAGCTGCTTTGTTCATGGATGGTTGTTCCAAGGTGAACACGCTGCACTGGAAGGCTGCCGCTGTGACCAGAGATGATAATACCAGGGGCGCCTGGGTGGCTCAGTCGGTTAAGCAGCGACCTTGATTTCAGCTCAGGTCATGATCTCAGGGTTGTGAGATCGAGCCCCGCGTCAGGCTCAGCCTGGAGTCTGCTTGTTTCTCTGTTCCTCCCTCTACTCCTCCCTCTGCTCGTGCTCACTCACTCTCTCAAATAAATAAATAAAATCTAAAAAAAACCCCAAAACAAAAAACACCAAATCAGCTCGGTGGGCTGAACTCATACTATTTGCTACCGTGTTTGGGTTTTTATCTACTCTTGGCGGCCACCATCCTGGCCATATGGTCAGGCAGAAGGACAATGGGAGAGTGGTCTATAGAAACATCACCCATGTGTGGCACAGTCCTGTGGAAGTTATTGTGAATTTGAGGAGTTCATTAAAGTAGAACACGTTGGTGCCCATCAGAAGAACCCCCTTCCTAGATCGGAAAGTAGAGCCAGCAAGTGTGTTCACGTGAGGATGCCACGTGGGGTCGTGAACCGATGGGATGTTGGGAGGTGGGCCGGATCTAGATGCATGGCCCTTGCGCCCCCTGAGGCACAAAATGCCAATAAGCTGTTCTGTCAACAAAAGAGACGGGCTACCGGGCAGGTTCCCTGGGGGAAAGGACACACATGGAGCTGGCCGGTGAGACCCCGGCGGGAGCCCGCACTCTGCGCTAGGTGTCGCTATAAATGCTCAAAATACTGTCATAGGACCAGACCAGAAGATACCGCACCGATTTGGACCACTGAGTTACATTTTTCCAGGGAACTCACTTTCATCCTCCGAGCCATGGTTCGATAGAGAGCTGGAATGGACCATTAAAACATTGGCTGTCTGAAACGGGGAGATCCAGACAAGCAGGGCTGGCCGACGCAGCTTCACCAGCATGCACTCACACTCACCGTGAGGGGCTCCCGGGAGGGTCCCTCCTGGATAGGTTGCTCTGCTTTTCTGGGAGAATCTAGGCAAGAGGAGGCTGGTATGACCATGGGGTTCTTCCCACGTGGGAGGAAGACGATGGTACGACTGTACTTTTTTCTTTCTCCCCCACATCACTTCACCCTTTTTTCCCTGCCTGATACAGAGGTGCCAGGCCCAAGTCCGCAGCCACACGTGTCAGAAGCAGGGAGGACTCCTAGGTAAGAGCGTGGACCTCTACCCTTACACTGCTGTGTCTGAATCCTAAGAGCCAGATGCAGTGCGGTGCGCCTTTGCCCCGTCTGGCTAAATGGGGTCACTGAAAGCGGCTGTATTCAAGCCTCACTCAGGCCTAGGGGTAGGAATGGCCCGCTCGAAGTGAGCGCACGTGATAGCACTCTGCGTGAGCGGAGGGGACCGCGGGGAGGCTCTCTAGACTAGCGTTGCTGCTGCAGTCTGGACCAGCAGCCGAACGCAAGGTCCTTTCCAAAGCTGGAAAAGCTTGGATGTAAATGGAGAGAAGGAGAAATAGTAGCTGAAGGTAGAGAGGTGAATACATGGACTAATAATAATGTAGTGGGAGAAATCCACTGTTACATTAACACTTTAAAAGAGGCTCAGAACAAGAAGGGATGCTGCCTCTTAGTTTCAGATGCCTGAAAGGGTGAATGTATGTACTGCCAAGACCTCTCCGGCTTTGGAGCCGACCAGAGTAAACAGAAGCCTGCAAACCTGAGTGGCCTCGTCCGGAGACGTTCTGGTCAGATGATGCTCACTAGACTAATTGTGACTGTAGGAGACTCTAGTAATTCTGACTTTCTTTTTCCACTTTATATCTGCCGTAGTGCGAGATGGTAATACACTGGCGTTGTTTAGAGAATAATTTTTTTTAAGATTTTATTTATTTGTCAGAGAGCATAAGCAGGGGGAGCGGCAGGCAGAGGGAGAGGGAGAAGCAGGCTCCTCACCGAGCAGAGAGCCCGATGCGGAGCTCGATCCCAGGACCTTGGGATCATGACCTGAGCTGAAGGCAGATGCTTAACAACTGAGCCACCCAGGTGACCCCTGAGGAGGTTTTAACTCCACCTCCGAACATATGCAGGCATGAATATCGGTATTATCACATGGCTTATTTACATAAGGTGTTTGAATCATACCGCTAATACCAGTATTAGACCATATCCTGGTATGGTCATAGTACAATGGAGTTCCATTACAGAACAAACTGGAAGAGTTAGAGAGGTATTCTCCGTAGACTCAAACCTTGCCCTTATACCAAATATTATTATGGACAGGCGTCATTACAGGTAGCCGTGATTTTATTATTTATTACAACAAATTATGATTTGTTATTTCTGGGTTCTGAGACAGTTGGAGGGAAAGCTAGTCACCCTGTCTCAGCTCACAGCCTGGCACAGAGACTGGTCTCCTTTTTGTGCTGTTCGTAGCAGGGCCCACCTCCTTCCTGGGGGAGGACACAGGTGGTATTCAGAATAGTTCTGTCCCTGCTGATTGTACGACAGGGTGTGTCTTCTTATCTGTTTCCGGAGCAAGGGCAGTCGTAGTCGGGCTCAAGTACATGTGTCCACAGTACGTGGTTTGCAGGTCTAGAAGATTCCCACAGGCATGGCTCTTGAGCCTCAGTAGCTAGTATGGAAGGCCATTGCCTCATGGCTACTTTGCCTTCTTTCAGCATTAAAATAGTCAAGAGGCTCTGTTGGCTGAGGGTGCAGGCCCCCTTCCGGTGCTGGGCCCTGGCATCAGCCAGCCTTCTCTGTTGCCTTGGCCTGATGCATTTCACTAAAGCCTCATTATCCAGCCTGACTCCCAGCCTTTACTTTCCCCCTGGAAGAGAATTCCTAATCTGCTTATTCTAGCTAATATTTTTTCCTCTGAATGCCTCTCCTCATTAAAAGCAAATTCAGTTTGTTCCACAATGGGGGACCTGTCTCCCCCAAAGCCCCCCCTTTTTTTTGAGAGAGAGAGCACATGGGAGAAAGGCAGAGGCAGAGGGAGAGAGAATTTTTTTTTTTAAAGATTTTATTTATTTATTTGAGACAGAGAATGAGATAGAGCATGAGAGGGTCAGAGGGAGAAGGAGACTCCCTGCCGAGCAGGGAGCCCGATGTGGGACTCGATCCCGGGACTCCAGGATCATGACCTGAGCCGAAGGCAGTCGCTTAACCAACTGAGCCACCCAGGCGCCCGGGAGAGAGAATCTTAAGCAGGCTCCAGGCTCAGTGCAGAGCTCAACACAGGGCTCGATCTCATGACCCTGAGATCATGACTTGAGCTGAAATCAAGAGTCGGACGCTTAACTGTCTGAGCCACCCAGCCACCCCCCAGCCCTCTTATGTCTCATGGTCCAGTGTTGTTTCCAATAGGTACTAAAAGCCCGAATGCCATTGGGAGACATGTTTGGTACCCAGAAATGGGGGTCCCCCATACTAAGCTGAGATAAGTGGTAGTCACGCCTAGGTGCAATTTATTGTGAGGTATGCTGTGAGGCCTCCCATAGCCTTCCTCATCTCAGGATGGGGTTATTCCCCATGGGAATTTGGATAGACTATACGATGCCTACTGCTTTCATCCAACAAGAAACCCATTTTTTTCTGTTCTGTTTAATAGCTTTCTATTCACAAAGACGGGTGATCTGTGTTTGTGCGTACAGCACACTGCACATGCTGCTATATTTTGTCCATTAAAATTGGGGGACTTTATTTTTTAAGCAGGCTCCACGTCTAGCATGGAGCCCAGCTTGGGGCTTGAACTCATGACTCTGAGACCAAGACTTGAGCTGGGATCAAGAGTCAGATGCTTGGGGCGCTTGGGTGGCTCAGTTGGGTGGTCATGAGATTGAGCCCCACCACATCGGGCTCTGTGCTCAGCATGGAGTCTGCTTGAGATTCTCCCTCTCCCTCTGCCCCCTCCCTGCACTCGCGCTTGCTTGCTTGCTGTCTCTAAAAAAAAAAAAAAAAAAGATGCTCAACTGGCTGAGCCACCCAAAATCAGGGGCCTTTCTATAAGTATTTGATTTTCAAGGTTTATAGCTGTATACAGGGCAATTCATCTGCCAAGACTTGGAGACCACCCAGTCCAAAGACCCAGTGGGGAGTAGTTTCAGGAAATTCCTTCCCAGATGACACCCTTCATAGTAGGTGTAATCTAAAAACTTGAAAGACGCTGGCCCGTCACTCGGGTCACCTTCAGTCGTCAGCAGTTACTCTAGCTCAGCGTCATATCCTGAGACCAGAATGTCTCCCAGAGCGACTCCGGCCCTGTTTGCTGGCTTCCATCAACGTTGTCAGGTTCCAAAGGCAGGCTGGGCAGGGCAGGGCAGGCGCAGGGCCCCACCGTTCCAGGCATCCCCTGCGATTGTGCTAAGGACCGAGGTAACCTCTCGCTCCCTCCAGGCACTCGTGGCGTGCCAGGCTGCCCGTTTCCCTTGAATACCTGCCTGTTCATCTCTTTGCCCTCAGCTGCCTTTCTCCTCTCTGTGTGGCACTGATTTTCACTCCACTCTTCCCCCTTTGGAAGGGATGTTGGCTTTAGCCACTGCTCTCGTCTAGCTCGCCGGCAGCACAACCAGCCTTGTGAGGGCCGTAGAAGATAGAGTTACACAGCCCCGAATGGGGGGCTGTTCCCGCCACTGAGCAATACAGCCCCATTCACTGTGAGCCCCCACTTAGCCCCATGGGGCGTGGGCACAACCCAACCCATCAGGATTTGAAAAGAGAGCTACGGTCTCTTACTTACGGACCATTCATGCTTCCGACACCACAGTGGCAGGTCGGGTCCTAGTGGGCTCAAGGTCAGTGCAGATGATGTGGGAAAGAATTGTAGAGTCCTGCCATCAGCCTCTCATATCCCCCAGAAAAGCGGACGAATCTATCCCGTGGGGACCCTCCTTTGGCCCCCACCCCATGCTGAGTGTGAGCACATGCTTGTGACGCTGTGTAAGCCTGCCCTTCGTGCTTTTCTCTCTCCCTGTTTCAGACCACAGATGTGTCAGTTGCCTGTTCCGGTTCTGTATCAGGCCAGCACTCGGAGGGTGACACGTTACACGCTGTGTCCATTTGACACGTCTCTTGGCCCATTGTGGGAACCATGGCTGACCCAAGTGGCACAGTATCTTCTGTTCCAACAGAGTATTTTAAGCATATTCGTCTACAGTCAGGAATGCAAAGCTACTTTAACGGGCCCCTTGAATTTCCGGAGTGATTTCCTGAGGCTCATGCCCCATGCGAGCCTCCCCTTTCCTAGTCCAGTTTTTCCCTTCCCCTGAGTCCGTAAACACCCCAACACGGGCGCCTGGGTGGCTCAGCCGGTTAAGTGTGCGACTCTTGATTTCGGCTCAGGTCATGATCTCAGGGTTGTGGGTTTAAGCCCCGTGTTGGACCCCATGCTGGGCATGGAGTCTACTTAAAAGCAACATAGGAGCTTTTCACATTCAGTGTTTCCATCACTGCAAGGGAAAGAGCATGCAGTTTAGCCCACCGAGCTGACCTGTTCTTACATTCTTCAGAGATTGCCATCAGTTGGTCAGAGTGCAGTAGCCTTCCAGACGAGATACTGTCTGTCCGCCTTGGCATTGCCGTCGGCGGCCAAGCAGCTTTCTGTTGGTCGTGGGGAGCCGCCACAGGGCTCCTCCCGCGACTCCTCGGGAGCTTCCCGCAGCCCGGCGGGAGAGAGGCCACCTGCCCGTGCGGTGCCCGTGTAGCGCTTCCTGTGTAAACCCTTCCCACGTATGAAGGAACTCTCTGGGGCACCGCCTTCTTCATCAGAGACATCACTCAGGACACGGTCGGTACTTCCGGTCACAGGAAGATCTGTCCTCCAGGCAGAAGGAGGTTTCCATAAACGCCCAATAGCGGGCTGGTAACTGTCTCCCGAATGATGCATATCCCACGCCGCATGTGCAAATTCCCTGGCCCGAGGTCTCAGCAGTCGCCCCCCCATCTCAGCAGTCGCCCCTGGGGGTAACTTGCGGGCTTTTGCCTGAAGCCCTCTGGTCGGTTTCGCCCAGGGCCGCTGTGCAGAGTCGGTCCCACCCCCTCTGATGTGTCATTGATTCAAGTGGTCCTCTCCTTTTGTCCACTGGGTGTCCACTCTGCCAAATTACCAACCAGTGTGGGCTTGGGCCCTTGTTTAAATCCTTTATTGCCGAGGGCGCTCCTCGTTCTCTCAGCGGGGTATGTCTCCAGCACCCACACATCCGTACCACACAAGGGCGCGCACATTCCCCGGGCCCACTGACAGCCCCAGGCCAGGGAACGTGCCCAGACTCGAGCCTTTCTTCTTCCCTAACGGTGGTGACCTGACCTGCCCCCCTCCCCGACACTGTCCGCAGCCAGATTTACTGCCACGGGGAGCTCCTGCACCAAATGCAGATGGCCAAGCTCTACCGGGATGACAAGCAGTTTGTGGACATGCCACTGTCCTTGGCTCCAGGTGAGGCACAGGGGGGCCCCACCTCCTAAAGCTTCTGCACCAAAGATGACAGAGGGCAAGACGAGGCAGAGAGGGGCCTCCATCAGGGAGGGGCTCCTGGGGTCCACCTGACCCCTCCTTGCCGCCTGGACCCCCGACCAGGTTCTGCAGCACTTTGGTGAGCTGGCCGCCTCCCACAACCCAAGCATCCTCCGCAGCAGCTGCAGGCTTTCGTCCAAGAGCACTACCAGGCCATGGGGCAGGAGCTGCAGTCCTGGACTCCTGAGGACTGGAAGGACAGGTAGCTCCTGGACAGGAAACAGGAGCGGGCCCTTCAGACAGGCCTGCCTGCCTAAACCCTGTGCGGTCAGCGTTCTTCCAGTCCCCGGTTCCTGCAGAAGATCTCAGACCCCAAGCTGCGAGCCTGGGCAGGGCAGCTCCACCAGCTCTGGAAGAAACTGGGAAAGAAGGTATCCACTCCTGGGTCTCAGCCCAGGGGATGGAGCTGGGAGAGGGGGATGCCAGCTTGGGGCCCCATTGCCCTTAGAGCACAGACTGGGACGCACTTTCTAAGAAGACAGCCCCCCACACGCTGGGTCCTTGAATGGAGCTCTCTAAGAAGAATTTCTGGAAGGGGAGAAGGGAATGCCTACTTCTAACTTCTCACCTCCTCCCTGAAGCCCTCACCATCCTCCCCCACCCCCACCTGCCACCTCCAGGCTGCCCACCTAGGCTCTCTCTTCCGGGAGCTAATCAGGTCAGGACTGGATGGTGGCAGCAGAGATGAGGGAAGGGGAGTGGAGGAAACGGTCCCCCTACCTGGTCCTGATACTGGCCGCCGCTTGGTGAGCCCCTGCCAGGGCCAGGCTGAGTTAGCAGGGACTCCAGAGGCCGGCCTGTGGGGCCGAGCAGACCTGGCTTGCGGCAGCTCCGGCCTTGACCAAAGCCACACGGCTGACCAGCCGCAGAGCCAGAACTCCTGCACCGGCCGCCAGGGCCTCCACACGGCGGGGCCTGTGGGCTCCCTGTGCCCTCCGTCCCGACTGCAGGTGAGGCCAGAGGTCCTCAGCCAGCCGGAGCAGTTCTCTCTCATCTACTCGGCACACCCCTTCAGCGTGCCTGGCGGGCGCCTGGTGGAGTTCTACTGCTGGTGAGCGGCCGGGGCTGCAGGGCGGGAGTCGGGGAGCCCGGGGCCAGCAGGCTGTCCCGGGCAGAGGGGGGCACCCTGACTGGCCCGGGTGCCCAGGCCGGTGCGTGAGCTGTCCGTTTCCCCAGGGACTCCTACTGGGTGATGGAGGGGCTGCTCCTCTCTGAGATGCCCGGGATGGTGAAGGGCATGCTGCACAACTTCCTGGACCTGGTGCAGATGTAAGGGGGGGCGGGCCCCTCAAGGCTGGGGCGGAGAAGGGGGTGCTAAGGGCTTGGTGCCGGATTGGCCTTGGCCTTCGCCGCTGGGCAGACGCACCTCAGCCCACGTCCCTCCTGGCAGCTACGGACACGTCCCCAACAGGGCCCGCGTGTATTACCTGCAGCCGAGCCAGCCCCCCCTCCTGACTCTCACGATGGACCGCTACGTGACCCACACCGACACCGCCTTCCTCCGGTGGGCCCCCCGGCCCCCCTGCTGCCCCGCAGGCCGCCCTACCTGGGACCTCCCAGGGTGGGACTGAGGGGCTGTGCCTGGGCTGCCGCGGTGCCTGGCTCCACCCCAGGGACAACATCGGGAGCCTAGCCTTGGAATTGGACTTCTGGGTGGAGAACAGGACCATCTCTGTGAGCTCGGGGGAGGGGGGGTGAGAGCTACGTCCTGAATCACTATGCTGTCCCTTATGGGGGACCCAGGTAAGGAGCCGCCTGCCAACCTCTCAGTCTCTCGTGATTCACTCTGGTCTGAGGGCCATGACTTAGCCCTGCCTCTCAGATGCTGATACTGAAAGCCCTGGGCAATCCAGGGCCCACGAAGGGCAATCCAAGGGCAGTTGGAGCAACATGGCTTAGCCTCCAGCTTGCACTTAGAGGCTCCTAGTGCCAGGATGCCCATTTTCCTCTTCCAGGCCAGAGTCTTACAGCAAAGATACTGAGCTGGCAGACACGTTGCCAGAAGGTGAGCAATAACAAGGTCAGGGATCGGGGTGGGGCTGAGAGCCTGGTGTTGGGTGTCGAGCCCTGGCCCTCCCTGCCACCCCCCACCCCCACCCCGTCTCCTGCTGCTTTGTCCTCACAGGGGACCAGGAGGCTCTGTGGGCTGAGCTCAAGGCTGGGGCTGAGTCTGGATGGGACTTCTCTTCATGGTGGCTTGTCGGAGGCCCAGACCCTACATCGCTCAGCAGCATCCGCACCAGCAAATTCGTGCCTGTTGACCTCAATGCCTTCCTGTGCCAGGCAGAGGAGCTGATGAGCAACTTCTACTCCAGACTGGGTGAGCCAGCAGGAGCGGCTTGGGTCCTGCTTCAGCCTTGGCCGTGGAGCTGGAAGTAGGACCCTGAATGAAGGGCCTCCAGCCTCTTAGCCCACTCCGTACCTCACCCCTAGGGCAAGAGTACGCATGGAGCCCACTCTCCACTCACCCTCCCTTTCTTACTGGGAGGGACTCCTAGGGTCTATGAGAGGACACCTGAGTCCACACATTCAAACTCCCTCCATTCTCTCTCCCCAAACAATTGCCCTCGGACCTGTCGGAGCTAGGGAAATACACACAGCCAGTGCCCTCCTAGGACGGGCCCGGGAGCAGGCCAGTGCAGGTCCTGAGAGCCCTATAGGGCCATGGCTCAGGAACTCCTAGATCCTAGAGGCCGGAAATGTGGGCTCCAGGTCTGCATGACCCCTTGGTGTCAGGACTTCTAGCCCTTGGGGAGGACAACAGGAGGCGGCCAAGGTTGACCTCTTTCTGGAAGGCATGGGACCCAAGGTCAGGCACCTCGGTTGCTCAGCCTAAAGACAGTGTCACCCCAGGGAACGACATCCAAGCCACAAAGTACAGAAATCTGTCGCAACAGCGTTTGGCTGCCATGAGAGCCATCCTGTGGGATGAAGAGAAAGGGGCCTGGTTTGACTATGACCTTGAGAACGGAAAGAAGAACCTAGAGTTTTACCCATCCAACCTCACTCCTCTCCGGTCTGTTTCTCTGACCCAGACGCTGTGGACAAGGCCCTAAAGTATTTGGAGGTGAGGGGGGCAGCAGAGCAGGCTGGTATACTGGGGGCAGGACCACCTGCTCTCTCCCTGAGTCTGAACTAGGGACCTCTGGTAAGTGGCAGCCACCCCCTCCTGTCCCACCCCTGGGTCTGAGCCTGCGGGTCCCGCTGGAGCCACCAGGGGGCAACTGTGAGCCAAGAGGACAAAGGCCAGGAAGGGGGACATCTGGCTTGAGGAGGGCCCAGCCTCTTGGCTCCTCATCCAGCCCCCACCCACAGCCCTAGAAATGTCTGGAACCTTCTAGGACAGCCAGATCTTGACCTACGAGTACGGGATCCCGACCTCTCCCCAGAAAACAGGCCAGCAGTGGGGCTTGCCCAATGCCTGGGCCCCCCTGCAGGACCTGGTCATCAAAGGTAGGGAGTAGGGAGGTGGGGATGGGGCATATCCCAGGGCCTTTCCCCATTGCATCTGGAGGGTCGGCCTCCTGGTGCTGGGGAGGTGTGAACAAAGCACGTAGGGTCTTTCTCTGGCTCTTCTGGTCTCTTGGCTTCCCACTCAGCAGACCTTTGATAGAGGGAACCAGCCCTCCTTTCTCCCTCCAAAGCCAGGCCCTGGGGAAGGAGCACATTGGCTTTTCATGTGGCTCACGATGGAGGTCTTAGGGCCCAGGCCTCTTTCCCTCCTTGAGGAGAGTAAGGCTCTGGCCATCCCAGGGGACTCAGGAGATTCAGTGTCCTGCCTGGGGTGGGGTCTAGGTCTGGCCAAGTCTCCTTCACCTCGGGCCCAGGAAGTGGCTTTCCAGCTGGCTCAGAATTGGATCCGAACCAACTTTGAGGTCTCTACTCCCAAAAGTCAGCCATGTTTGAGGTGAGCTGCTCCTGAGCCCAGAGCCTCCTGGGCTCCTCCCCATGGTGAGCTGGGGGGAATGCCAGGCTTTGCCAAGCCCAGGGACAGTGGTGACGCCCGGTGGCCGTTCTTGGGCACTGCAGGGGTCAGAGCTGCCGGCCAGAGCAGCTTCTCCCAAAGGGGCTCCCATCTCTTGCTCCCCCTGGGGGGCTGAGGTGGGGAGCCTGGGGGTGGTGCCCCACCTTAGAGCCTGTCCTTTTGTTCCCAGTAGGACATCAGCAGCGGTGGTCAGCCAGGTGGTGGAGGGGAGTATGAAGTTCAGGTGAGTGGGCCCACATCCTACTGGGAACTCCAGGGCTGGCTGTGTTGTCCCCACAACTGGCCGTGACCTCCCCTGTCTGGGCCTCGGTTTCCTCCCATGTATGTGGGTCCCCAGGGAGGAGGCTGACTGGAGCTCCTTTGCACCCCTGGGGCTGGGCAGTTCTCGAGCCTCTGGGTGGGGATCTCACAGCCCCTAAAAGGATTTGGGGCCTTCCCCAGAGATCTTGCCCCACTGACCCTGTCTCTCTCCAGGAGGGCCTTAGCTGGACCAGTGGAGTGGTCCTGATGCTCCTGGACCGCTATGGTGACCGGCTGAGCTCGGGACCCAGACAGCTTTCCTGGAGCCCCCTGCCTCACGGCTACCCTTCTGCTCAGCCTCCTGCTCAGCCTCCTGCCACAGTATGGGCCTCCCTGCCCCGTCTGCCTCATTAAACTTCTGCGTGAGTCTCTACCTTCGCCTGCTTCTTCATCTTCCATCCCCTACCCCCAGCCAGTCCTTGGAGTGGGGTCAGGGGAGGGACCTAGAAGTCATGGGTTGGGCCCTTGTCCCTCCTGGAACATCAGTAAGGGGGACGTCCTGTTTTGTGGGGACACAGTCCCATACCCCATGCAACCTGGCTTCCCAAACACATACTCCAAATGCTTTATTGTTCCGTTGAGATGCTTACAAATACTGAAAATCACCCAGCCCGGGGCCCAGTAGCCATGGCCCAGTGGTGGGCAGGGAGGTGGGCTTAGTGTTAAGGCATGAAGGGCCGAGGCCAGACAGCTGGTGGCCTGGTCCTCTGCTCCCCATTTCTGTCACCGTTCCGAGGCTGAAGGGAGGGCAGCCAGACCTCAGGGTCCTCTCGCTCTGCTGCCTCCTCTCCTGCTCAGGTTCCCCCCGGGGGCGTCTGAGCAGCCCTCCACCCGTTAGACACTCAGCCTGTACAGAACCCGTCTAGCCACCTCTCCCTGCCGCTTCCCTCCTCCTCCAGTCTCTGGATGTCCGAGCTTCGTCCCTTCTGGCTCTAAGCAAGGCACGAGTGGAAGGGAGAGGGCTGGACTGGGGGCTGGAGGGGGGGTTTGGTCCCTTCCCCCCCAGCTGGAGAGATGTCGGTACGTACCCTCAGATGGGCCCACGGTTGAAGCATGGGCGAAGCCACAGAGCCATGGGTATGGGGTTGGGACCTCAAGGCTGACACGTGAGGTCTCTGGCCCTTGAATAAAGTAATAACAAAAATGCGGGAGAGCGGGGTTTGAGAAGTACACCGCCTGAGCTGTTCCCCCACTCCGGAGGTGGCTCTCCTCAGCCCCCAAGGCCCCTGCAACGGGGGGGCTGAGGCAAGAGGGGATCTTTGGCAGATTCTGGTACCATCATTTGTCCTTTGCGAAGGCAAACACAGGCTGGGGAGCGCAGGTGCCAGGTCAGAGCTTGAGGCCCCCTCTGCCAGTTCCGCAGCCTGGGGCAGGACCCTGAAGGGTTATTGCAAATTCTGAGTTCCCGGGAGCCTCCCCACTTTTTATCTGCTGGCTGGTTCTTTAGGGGGCCTGAGCTCAGACATTCACAGGACCCGCTCCTTAGAACAGTACCAAGGCCTGTCCAAGGGCTCTGGGAGCACTCCTGCGCAGCCTGGAGCCCGGGCTGCGGCTCTTCTCCAGGGGCCGAGCTGCGCAGCAGGCGGGCTGGCCTGAGGGTCCGGGAGGCCCACGCCAGGAGTGGTGTGGTCAGTTCATGAACTGAGTGTAGCCCTCAGCTCCGGTGACGATGACGTCCATCCAGATGCGCATGGCCTCTGCGGACGGCGCCACCATGTAGTACAGCCGGTCATGGGTCTTCACACAGAAGGTGAGGGCTGGGTTCGGGCTCTGCCCCGGGAGAGAGGAAGGTCTAAGACAGGGCTCGCCGCTGACATTCCATCTGCCCTTTGCCCTCCCTGGCTCCAGGGTGCCCTGGAGCTCGAGACTGAGTCCCAAATAGGCCCCAAACCTAGTGCCCACCCGTCAAGGGGGCCCCAGGCCGAGATGTTTCCCTCCTCACACCTGGGCCGTACCCTACCATGGGGGGGGGGCGCTCTGTTTCTGGGCACCCCTGGGCACAAAAGTGAGTATCAACAGAATCAGACACAGAGGCCTATTCCAGTGAGGACCCAAGCCTCCTCTCGGCACCAGAGGGGCAGATGGAAAAAGCTGCAAGTGGGATGCTGGGCCCAGGACCCCAGAGGAGCAGAGATCAGGGCTGAGGCGGCACCAGAGGCTTGCAGGGAGGCTGCTTTGCATGAGGGCGGAGAGCCCAGGCTTCAAACATGTCCCCTTTATCAATCCCGTCAGCCCAACCCCGTCCCTGAGAACCCCTTCCTCCCCCTCGCAGCCATCCCTTTGGCGCCACCTACCTCCCCACAGGCCTGCTGTCATCTCAGGAGAGGGGGCAGCGAGCCCCTCAGGCCCACAGGGGCTCCCTGCAGCCCCCGCTGCTCCTCCCTCAGGCCCGGGGAAGGGGGTTGGTGGGGGAGAGTAAGGGGTCAGGGGCCAGGAGGGGACAGGAGGCATTAATGTGCAGTAGTTCTGGTTACAGGTAGGTAGGGAGGGGTACCTCAGTCACCACAGGGAAGCTGAAAAACCTCTTCTGGGAAAGGGAAGGGAGAGAGCAAGAGAGAGTTTACAAAGAGGCTGAGGAAGGGGTCCAGGACTCGAGAAGACAGGCTGCTGGGCCCACCCCTTCCCCTGCGGCCCGCCCTCACCTTGGCCGCACTGCGCAGGTGGTCATAGTACACTTCTTCGATGGCCTGGAAGTAGATGACCCCCTTCAGCTTCGTCTCATGCTTGTCTGCAAAGAAAATAGGGCCGGGCTGAGGAGGCCCAGCATCCCTCAGGCGAGGGGCCACCGATGGAGCTTCCCTGTCTGGGAAAACGGGCTAATTCCCAGGACTCCAAAACAGAGCCCACCAGGGAGTCCTGAAGACATGGCCCGTGCTCAGCCTTGCTCAGAATTAGAGAATGCAGATTAGAACCTCTCCTGAGATACCACTTCGCACCTATGAGAAGGGCAAAAATATGCAAAAAATAAACAACACGCTTTGGGCAAGTTTATGAAGAAACAGGTGGGCTAACAGATGACAGGTGGGGTATACAGTGGTAAACCCTTCGGGAGGATCTGGCCGAGTCTACCAGAGTGAGAAAGGTGTTTGCCCTTTGAGCCAATGATTACACTTACGAACACTTACCTTACAAATAACAAACACGTGATTGTTCACCACAACGATATTTGTAGTTTGGAAACCAGTCCATCAAGTAGAGACTGGTTAATAAATTAGAGTTTAGTACAGGATGGGATACTAGACCTCTGTTAAATGATAGAGAAACACCTCATGGGGTAGGGTGGAAAAAATACAGATTCACAAATACACCTTTCAAATGTATCCAATATATTTCCTATAGAAAGATCTGCTAGAATAACAGTAAAACAAGGAACATATCGTATGCCATTTTTTGTGTAAGAAAAGGAGTAAGAATCTCTGCATTTGTTTACATTCTAAAGAAACTACAAGGGTACGCAAGAGATTAATAAAAACGGTTATCTGTTGTGAGTAGAGGCATAATTCTCAATGTAAACCCTCTTACGTGTTTTTTTTAACTGTAGGAGTGCATTTACCTATTCAAGTCTAATAGTAAAAACCAGAAGGAAGGATGTGGCATCTGGAGGCCGGTGGGGGGACAGGAAGGAGCGGGGCCGACAGCAGAGGTGACCGAGCCGGCGGGAAGGGACAGGTCACTGCCAAGGGAAAGCCTAGGGCCTGGGCCGTCTCATGGCAAACACTGTTCACAACCGAAAGGTCACACCGTCAACTAAGCTCAGACAGTGACAGCTGACAGGCTGCCCTTTGGGGTGCACCCTCACCCCCGTGTCGTTTCAGGCCTGAGTCCCTGAGCCAGGAGCTTCAGCCTCCTCCCGTGCCCCCGCCCCACCCTCTGCCCCTTCGACTCCCCTTCCCTAAGGACAAGTTGGTGAGCTTCCTCAAGCAAATTGAATCCTGCTGCCTCAGCCCGCCAGCCTCTCTGCTGCTCCCTCACTGGGACCCTGCTGCCATCTTGGCTTGGCAAAGGCTGTTTACAGGCCACTGCCCTCTGGTCCGGTCTCACGCGTCCTTCCCCGGCACCAGCCCCAAGTTCTCTCCGGCCAGGCGGAGCTTCTCTCGGGCCCTTAACCAGGAGCTCTGTGTACACTGGAATAGTCTCCATGCCCTTGGCCAACTCCTAAGTAGTCTTCAAGACCCACTGCGAATGGGACCACTATGGTGCCCGGTCACGCGCTCCTGGGCTCCCACGGCACGGACGTCCCTCTGTAGAGCTGACCCTGCTGAATCTGAGCCCTCCTCTGCCCGTTCACAGGTCTACCTCCTCCAACAGCAGCAACTATGTGCCTAGCACACAGTAGGTGCTCAGTGTTGAATCAGTGAGTCCGAGGCACTGGCGTCACCAGAAATCAGAGATCCTTCTCTTAGGAACCTACCCTCTAGTGGGGAAAGCACACACACACGGGCGTTTATGAGCTACGCGACCTTGGGCATGGCTGGGAACGGCAAGGGCGCATCTACACGTCCGAGGCAGTCATGAGAAGCAGGTGGTCGGCACAGCGTCTGGCACCTGCCGGAGCCTCTGTGATCACAGCGCAGACAGAGCCTCTATAAGGCAAGGGTTCTATATGGCAGAGGGCAGGACCCGTTCCCGGTGAGGCAGGGCCAGATCAGACGCTGTATCTGATCTGGACCCCATAGAATAGAGGGGTTCCGCCAAGTTAGTGGGAGGAGGGTCCAGGCCAGGGTAGGGAGAATGGCAAGTTCAAGGCAGAAGCAGGCAAGTCACACCCAGGGCCCCGATCAGGCCCCCGGCCCACCTCCGTCGGACACTTGCGCTTGGGACAAGGATGCAGCCCCTTCCCACCTCTTCCTTCGCTGGAAACCGCATCAGCTCCAGCCCCCGCTTCCTTACCACCCACCTCTCCTCATCTTGTGCCATGTGGCTCCCGCCCTGGACACAAGGGCCTCTGGGTCCACATTATTCTTGGCCTCTCTGCAGTGTCCCTCATCACTGGCAACACTCCCTGCCTACAAATGCCGGCTCCTCCGGCTGGCTTCCCTCCCCGTTTCCGCCCCTCCGCAGAACGTGATCTTCATTTCACTAACCCTCAGGAAGCTCGTGAAGGCCCAGCGCCAGCGCAGCACCTGGCCTGTGGCTTCCCGCCTCCTGCCCTCCCCCTTGGCCAGCCCCTCCTCCTCCTTCCCCAGGGTTCAGCCCTTTCCCTCTTCTCTGCTCCGAAGTCGAGCCGCCTGGGTTCAGTTTTAGCTTGGCAGCTTAGTAGCTGTGAGACCTTGGGCAATTTACTTACCTCTCTGAACCTATGTTCCTCATCTGTAAAATGGGTATAAAACAGTGCTTCCCGCACATGATGATGAAAAGGCAACGCGATGCAGGCAGAGTGCTTAGCGCGGCACCCGGTTCGTGCAGTGCTCAGTGAGTATGACCTGCCATTACTATTACTCCAGCACAATCAACTTTAATCCTGACCTGGCTCCTAAATTTAGGTGCCCCAGGCACTTCAACCTCAACATGCCTGAAATGAAACTCTTCTCCCCAGGCCTGTTTCAAATGCCCACAAAGTCCCTTCCAGCCCAGGTGGAAACATGGGGACACATGGGCCTCTGCCTCTCCTGCCTCGCACAGCCAGGGCCCAGGCAATCAGGGAAGGCCTCTTGGAGGGGGTGGCACTTGGTTAGGGACCAGGTTAGACGGGAGGCAGGCACTCCAGGCCTGGGTATCTCTGCCACCAGACACTTAGGCCCTCTCCTTCCAGGCTCTGAACAGGATTGCTCTCCCCGGCTTTATGGCTAGATGGAGCTGGGTGACTGGCTGAGCAGCCCCACTAGTGACCTGAGGACAGACCCCAGCCGGGGCATTTAATGCCCATGCAAGGCGCAACTGGGCTTCTCTTTACTCTCTGCCACTGTGGCCTGCAATGTTCTAAAAATGCATGCTCTCGAACAAAGGGAACACTGGCTCAGAGGGGAGCAGAGCCCCCACCAACCCACAGGGTACCCGGACTCGTAGCGGGTGAGAAAGGAAGCTGCGGTTTTGAGCCACTGGGATCTCAGGACTGGCTGCTCCGCAGAACGCCCTGGCCCCTCCCGACCTGTGTGCCACACAGCATCCTGCGCTCAGCGTGGGGGCTGTCCAGAGGGAACTCCAGGGACAGGCGACTACGCTGGAGGCAGCGTGGAGAGCAGAGGGAGCAGGACGCGCCAGGGGGCCTGTCCCCAGGGCCGTCCCGAGCGCTCACTGGCCCCGCTCAGCTGCTTGTCTTAGAGCCTTTGAGGGGACGTGCCCAAGGCGGAAGCCACCGGCCTCCACACGCCCACGGAGCCTGGGCGTCCCCTACAGCACACCCATCCTGCCTGGCTTTCCCAGTCTGCCCACTATCTGCCTCCCTGACGGCAAGCTCCAAGGGACAGAGCCGTAGCCACCCGGCTCGTCATCAAGGCCTCAAGCAGTGCCCAGAGCTTACTCCATGCTCGGTAATACTGCCGAATACGCGAATGAACAAAAACCGAAGGCGGACCGAGTACAGTCTGTACACCGTCAGGGAGGGGAGGACAAGCCCCAGCTCAAGCCCCCGGCCCCACACCGCTAAGCCTGGCCTCCCTCCGGAAGACCAGCTGTCCTGGGTGACAGCCCAAGGGTCCAGGCTCCGAGACGGTCTGACGGGAACTCACCCACGTAATAGGAAAGGGTGCGCTTGAGCCGGTCGAAGACAAACCAGCGCTTCTTCCATGATTTAATCTTGCCGCCCATCTTGACCAAGTAGCCGCGGCAGACCTGGCAAGAAGCAGGAGTGAGGAAGGACCCGAAGGCGTAGCCCCCAGACCTCTCCTCCCGGAGCGGCACTATAAAAGCTGTCGCCTGGGCCTGGATTTTGGGGGCCTGTGGCCCACACCTCTTCAGGCCAGCACACCAGGTCCTGGGACAGAGACCACCAGTGTTAGGGCAGGAACTGGGGCCACTATTCCGAAGGCCCAGGAGGTGCCCAGACTACAGGGTCCTCTCCCCAGCGCCCCGGGGCCACACAGGCCTCGCACCTTGCTGCTGAGCACCACGTGCAGGCAGGTATCGACGCCGTGGCCCGACGACTCAATGTGGGTCTTCAGGTCGAAGTCCTCCTTCCGGATTGGCAGGTAGCGGGTCAGAGGTCGTGCCTGGGAACAGAGGGCAGCGTCAGCAGAGTCTCCTCTCTTCCCCGCGTCATTCCCCTGTCCAGGCCCCTTGGCTTCAGTCCCGAACCCCCACTGCTGCCATCAGTCCCTCCCCGCCCCGGGGCGGTCACCCTGGTTTCAGAGCGCGTGTGGCAAAAGCAGAGACCTAGCGGGCCCGCACTGATGCAACCCCGGCCTGGGCAAACTGCTGAGTGGCTCCATGCCTCAGTTTCCCCACCTAGGACAGCCATCCCTGTCTTGTCCCTGTCCCTGGTCTCCCTCCTGGGCTGAACGGAATAAAGCAAGAGGCCAGAGGTGGGCATGCTCTGGGAAACAAAGCCCAATAAGCAATCTGGCCTATGACTTCTCATCGGACCATGTTTGGATCTCATGGCCCCTCTGGGACTCCCTTTCCTTATATGGCAAACAAGGGCTTCGAACTAGATCATCACTAAGGTCTGCTCCACCTCAAAAATTCTGATACCAACTAGAACTTTTTCTCCTACTCCTCCTCTACATTAGAATGGCCGGAAAAGGAAACATCAACAATTAGAAAACGAAACACACAACTTTCAGGAGGTACCCCGAAGACGGGCTGGCTGTGTCCCCTCCTACAGCAGGCACCAGTGCCCCTACGGCGACACCTGAGCCCCAGGGCGGGGGGCTGTCGGGGAGAGAGACGCAAAGTGGCCACGGACTGGGGCAGGACAGGGGAGCTGGACTCCTGACGCGGATCCCAAGCGCGGAGGTAAAACTCAAGAGTTTCTGATTTTTTATTTGTATTTTTTTGAGAGAGAGCAAGAGAGTGAGCGTGAGCAGACAGGGGCAGAGGGAGAATCCCAAGCAGGCTCCACACTCAGGGCGGAGCCCGACGTGGGGCTCGATCTCATGACCCCGAGATCACGACCTGAGCTGAAATTGCGAGTCAGACGCTTAACTGACAGAGCCACCCAGGCGCCCCCTGGTTATTTCTTAATTCCCAAACCCAATCCAGGTGGCCTACCCCTTAGAATTCATGTTGCTGCCTCACGGGACATCAGGGAGCGGTGGTCGCTGGTCACTGCTGGGGAAGATCCCACAGGACCCCCACCCTGGGGGTTGGGGGGCTTTATAAGACCCAGCAGGAAGGACTAGCCCGAGTCCCATAGGCTCTCACAGTGGGGAGGGGGGCAGGATCTGCCACGAGAGACATGGGTGGAGCTCCCTATACAACCTCACTTCTCCCTCCACCTTCAACTGTTCTGCTCAAATCTGTGCAAAGAAAAAGCTCAGGAGTCCCGTTCCAGAACAAGTACAGCTCTCTCTTGGAGATGTAAACCAAAGTCCGAGTGACACCATCTGCTGGTGGGCGGCCTGGGGCTGCCGAGTCTGGTGCAGGGGGGGCCAGGACAGCCACGAGACACACACACACACCACACCACACACACGCACGCGTGCACACACACCCCCCACACACCACACACATAACACACCACACACACACACACACCCGCACACACCCCCACACCACACACACACCCCTCCCCTCTGGCTGTCA